GTCTTTTCCGACCTAAATGATTCTATGATTTTAAAAGGCAGTTTCTCCAGCAATGGCTAGCAGCTAACACTGGTGGCTGGATAGATGTATTCCAAAGAAACCACCCATAGACAATCATATAAAAATATTATCTATACAAAATAACTAAATGCATACATACATAAACACATAATTAACATAGTTATCTAAGCTAGTATACTAAATTTTAAACCTTGAATATGTTTAATCTACTTGATCACACTAAAGAAAATTGTCTCCTATAAAGAATATGAAAAAGTAAATTATGTATAATACAGAAACACACTTCCCACTGCTGCTACATACACACACCATATACAGTATATTGTATATTATAATTTGCTATACTTATATTCATTTTCTGTGTTTGGTAATGCATAACAATCTTATGCTTATCTACTTTTTTACCTTGGAATCTCTACAGTCTCAGCAGAATACACAGACATGCATGAATCATTAACACAGAAAGCAGTTAACTGGCTTGTTCATCACATTCTGTCTTCTAGCCAGTATTAATTAAAAGTATCCACACATTTTTCAATTAATTTCAGGTGCTACTTACACTGGGAATGACCTGGAGGTCGTGTGTTACTAACGCTACTCTCAAAGGAAGAATGGAAGTTGTGTATAGTTTCTTGTAAAATCTGTCTCTCTCGTCCCTGTAAAAGCACAATAAATTAAAATAAGGTATTCTTATATTTCTGTTTAAAAAATGAATTTATTAAGGGTTCACAAAAAATGTGTAAATATGTGTGTTTATGCCCAGAGAGTCACAGCGTACTATTAGGAATAACAAATCCTTACCTCCCAGATATGTAGAAAACCTTGTAGTAATCTTTTCCTGAAACTACCAGACAGCAATAGAAACATTTTCATTATTTTCATTATTTTCTTCATAGGTATATACTATGGATCATCATCCACCTCCCCTGATTTTTTAGCCTCATCACTTGCTGCTGTTGATCTTAACTTGGGGAAATTATGTTTTGTTTATCCGAGCTTCCAATATCAGAGAAAGAATGGACCTCAAAACCAAAAAGCAGCTGAGAAGTGTCAGCAAACCTAATTAAAGAGATGCTCCAGTCCATATTCCCTGTGACAAGAACATTGCTTACTGTATGCCATTCTTAACAAAGTGGTTTATGTAAATATAAAATTAAAAGACAAATACAAGTGTAAGGAATGGGAGAAGTGCTATTTACCTAATCACAGAGAAATCAAAAACTGTTAGGCAAAACAAAGGAGACCTTTCCTTTTACATTATATTCTCTAGCTGGACTATAGGGAAGTATAGGAGAGAGTCCAACAGAGGGCTACGAGGATGATTAAGGGACTGGAACATCTCTCGTATGACAGAAGGCTGAGAGACCTGGGGCTGTTTAGTCTGGAGAAGAGAAGTCTGAGAGGGGACCTTATCAATATCTATAAATATCTGCAGGAGGATGGAGCCAGTCTCTTTTCAGTAGTGCCCAGTGGTAGGACAAGGGGCAATGGGCACAAACTGCAGCACAGGAAGTTCTACCTCAACATGAGGAAAAACTTCTTTACTGCGAGAGTGATGGAGCACTGGGACAGGCTGCCCAGGGAGGTTGTGGAGTCTCCTTCTCTGGAGACCTTCAAAACCCAACTGGACATGCTGCTGTGCAACCTGCCCTAGGTGATGCTTCCTTGGCAGGGGGGTTGGACCAGATGATCTTCAGAGGTCCCTTCCAACCCCTACCATTCTGTGACTCTGTGATAGTGGCCAGATGATTCTTTTTAGGATCAGTGAAATCAATATTCAGTAACTGCAATACTGCCAATGTTTATGTTACCAGTAGCTTCTGTTATAATTTCCAATACTCTGCAAAAGAACTGTACAGTCACTGAACTAGGTTAATGAAAGAACAGGGAGTACCACAAAGGAAGATATTTTTCGCTAATCAAACACAAAAATATTTTGTTTGGAAAACATTCACTGGCTTTTCTAATACCTGCAACTGAATTCTGAAATGTATGTTGAATTAACAATGTAAGTTACTTATATTGTACGTTACTTCAAACATACCTTTCCTGCATTTAATTCAGAAATAGCTGCCAAAATCTGCTGTCTTGATCCATCAGTTTTAATACCCAGCTCTTTCAGATCACCATCAGTAAGTGTAAGGAAGGCTTCCATATCCACCTGCGTATGGAAAAAAAAAAAAGAGGAAAACACAAAAGACAAATTTACCTAGGCAAAACTTTCACTATTACAGATTAAAAGTGTTTGTTTTTCCTTTTAAATTGTAAAGACTTATTGTAAATATTGTACACACAATTTTTTTTGATGAATTACCAGCACCAAACGGTACCACTTTACCACTCCGCTGTCCGGTTTTAAATTATAACAGTATATGTAAAAATTTCTTTCAGACAAGCTCTATCAATACAGAACGTATAGTCTCCACAAAAATTTGTGTACCTACAGTAGCAGCTAGTTGAATAAGCCTAAGATTTCTCATTTTTCTCCCCCTTCCCTGCCCCCAAATATTTTTGGAATTTCAGAACATTGTGTGTACTTTTCCAGTGTCTGCTGAGGAAAACCCAGGGTTTGTTCTTTTATCAGTTTTTATTATATCAACACATCCATAAGACTGTGGTAAGAACAAACATCTAAAACTTTTCATATTGATACAACCTTCACACACAGAACAAATTCATTTCTACAAAATGCTCCCTTCTTTATCATGTAGGGGAACAATAATAAGTGCAGTGTATTGTGATGCAGCTAAATAATCTGTGTTTGTGGTGCTAAATCCTGAACTCTGCAGCAATGTCAGTTTATTTTATGTCCATTTATTACTCTTTGCCTTTGGCCAAACACACACACAATTATTGCTTACATCTGACACTGTCTTAAACACTGTAATTAATTAATTTGTCTTATTTTCAGCAATATTTCCTTCCATTGCATCCTTCAGGCAGGTAACTGTTACAGGTCTCATCTACAGTGGTGCTCTGGTTTCCCAATTAAATTCTCCTGTTGCTTATGCATAGGGGATAAAGAAGAGAAAGCAGCCATCTCGGTGATTCACACCCTACTATTTCCCATCTGCAAATAAGGTTCCAGCTGTGATTCCAGGGATGATACAGTATGTCCTATAAACTGCTTAGCCATATTGGATATAGACATAGATAGAAAAAGCCAAGTGTAAAAACAGAGAGGGGAGAAAAAAAAAAAATCTGAAGCACCTATTTATACCAAAATTGTAAGTTCAGTGTAAAATGCACTGATATTTGCAGTATCCTGGAGAATGCCACAAGTACATGCTTCCACTTGAAGCCCATGCTTCAAGATCCTCTCTGCAACCAGAAATGCTTGTGAAACTTTAAATTTGAGCCTCTGGATCACAGTTCTGATGGACTGTGTGTTGTACCCTACTTTTTCTAACATAGTAAAAAATAAATATTTTTTGCAAAGTCATACCTCTTGTTCCTCAAAAATAGGCTGATATTTCTCAAGTGACAATTTTTTAAGGATGCCAGTCAGCTCATCTGTAAAAATAGAAAAGAAAGAGAAAAACAAAACACCCATGGATCAGGAAAAATTCTAGTGATCTCTGCATTATTAACTGCTGAAAATATATATTAAAACATATACTCCACACAGCGATATATGATCACATTTACTCTGCATCAGAAATTAAAATATTGGCTTACTGTGTTCTCACCTACTTCCATATACTGGAATTCCATCTTGTCTTACCTTGTTAAGATAAAATCTTTCTGTTTTATTGCTCTTTCTTCCTCATTAGAAGGATCTTAAAAAAACAAACCACTAGGGACAACTTTGGCACTTCAGTGCCTAAAACACAGGTGCTTGGCTTCAGGTGTTCAGATCACGCAGGCTAGTAAAACTCCTCAAGCAGGGAATGAACTGAATGGCGTAAGGCCACAAAAATGCTCAGAGGGATGGAGAACCTCTCCTGAGGACAGGCTAAGAGAGTTTGTTCAGCCTGGAGAAGGGAAGGCTCTGGGGAGACCTTACTGCAGCCTTCCAGTACTTAAAGGGGGCTTCTGAGAAAGATGGGGACAGACTTTTTTCGCAGGGCCTGTTGCAGTAGAACAGGGGGTAATTGTTTTAAACTAAAAAGAGGGCAGATTTAGACTAGATAGAAGGAAGAAGTTTTTGACAATGAGGGTGGTGAAACATGGGCACAGGTTGCGCAGAGGTGGTAGATGCCCCATCCCTGGAAACATTCCAGGTCAGGTTGGACGGGGCTCTGAGCAACCTGATCTAGTTGAAGCTGTCCCTGCTCATTGCAGGGGGGCTGCACTAGATAACTTTTAAAGGTTTCTTCCAACCCAAACTATTCTATGATCCAGAAAGGCAAAGTGTAGTGAAAGCAACCACCCAGTTGCTCATTTGAAATATTGATACAACAAGGGTATATCTGAACCTCTCCTCCTTAAGTGCCTGACATCCAGGCATCTTGAACACAGATAGTTGAAGTCCAGGTAAGATGAAACCTGGGCAGAATTTAAGTTTCATAAGCTTGCCTTCCAAGGCTAACAGCATGGGATATTGGGTTTCCTCTCAAAGTCTAAGGAAATTCAAAGCTGGAGGACCTGATAGTAACTCTTCCCACACATTTAAAATGTGATTAGCCAGTTAAAAAGCTTAAGTGCAGTTTCAGAATAAACCACCATTATCTCTCTTAATTACACAAAACCTCTCTCAACTAAGGATTTTGTTTATTTTTATTGCTTTGCTGTGCCTAATTTTTTTTTTTTGCCAGAAGTACCAAACTGGTCAGTTAAATTAAGGAGTGAAAGTCAAAATGAAGAACATGAATGATTACATTATATACCCAAACTATATTTAATATTCCCCACATAAACTCACTTTCATTGTAAGAACATCACTATTCCATTCCCAAATATACTTTGCTTTTATTTATTTCACTTCTTTGTCTTTTAACTGCCCCTTTTCTTTCATCATCAGTAGAAATGTGAAAGAGAATGTCACTCTCTAAGCTTCTCAAAAGACATCAAGTATCTTGGGATGGAAACACTTTTCTGTGCAACCATTCTGGAAGCTTCCTTCTTTACATAAAGACGTCACAGAAAACTGAAGTGAAAAATTCTAGTCAAGTCTTATTTTCTGCTAGTATTTTGGTTTTTTTACCTCCAGGATGATTAATTTGGTATGCTTAACACAATTGGCAAAAGGTTGGCATGGTTTCAGGCTAAAAGCTTTAGTACCCTAAGTGAGGTTAATCCATGAGAAAGGGTAACCAGCTTTAAAAACATAGCACAAGAACTCTATGCAGTGTGACGAAAAATATCATCTTACAGAAAGAAAATAAAGTTTCATTAGAAGCCCTTAGATATAATATTAACCTTTTTTTCTTTTAGGTTATTAGTTAGCCTTCTCATTTTTCACCACACTGCTCTGCTTAAATTATAGGTTGTGATATGGGAAGAAACTTTCTTCTCTGAGCCCAGAGCCTTCTTTCCCTCTTCCAGCTCCTGTATTATACGTTAAGTTTGAACAAAACCTGAAACCTCTCAGTTTTACAACTCTGGCATAACATATTGTTTCTCTTGTGCTTTTTCACTAAGTCTTTCTTTGTCTCTATTCCTACCTTGTCTCCTTACCTACATCCCTGGGGAAAGCAAAGGTTCTCAGAGCTCTTACTACTTCTGCCACATTACTCCTATTTAGCACCTCTTCTGTACTACTCTGTAGTAGGAGGGTAAGATTACCTTTCTCCAAGTTTTCAGAGCCTCCTTTTACTCTCACATGGTTTCGTCTTTCATGATTCTCTACATCACTGGTTCTCAGAATAGGGACAACCTGTTGATGGTCCACCAAGTGGTTGCCTAAAAAGAAACCATGCACACCTTTGAACCCTGCTGCCTATTGTTCCTTCCATTTAAGTTTACTTGAAAGAAAAAGAAAAGTTAACATTGCAGGCCTTCTGTACTTATTCTTCTAATTACTACTAGGCCTATGAGCATTGGTACTGCTGCTGCTGAAACAACTCACAGTAAGAGAAGCCCTTGAATAAAAGGACCACTTAACTATGAAAGCCTACAAGCACAATGAACCCAGAACTACTTAGGCTTCTGACAACCTATCCCTCTGCTACAGAGGAAACCCTGTATCATGGCACTAGTGGTGCAGTCACAAAGCCCAGCTTTACCAGGTAAGATGAGAACAGCTGACAGCTTGGGGGAACTCCTCCTGTTACCTGACAGCAATTTCTCTTCCCCTTATACATTTCTAAACCGACAACTCTTATGTTATCAAGTCAACATTATAAAATGTCATTAACTAAAATGTGACAGGATTTTCTCCAGCAGTCAGTACAATACGTTGCAGCTAAGCCATGATAAGAGGACAGAAAGCGGGTCAACTATCACCACTCTTTAGTGTCAAATGGAAGTACAGTGACAATGGACAGTTAGCATAAATGGAAATTAAACAAAATTCAATATGGATACTTTCAAAAAACCCCAAAATAGTAGAAAGTGCCTCTTGCAGAAACCAGGTAAAAGGTAGCTCCATCTCTTATTTAAAAGACTCTGAGTCATGTTATTTTTTTCACTTTTTTTTTTTTTTGGAGATGTTTACAGAAGGAAACAAAGTAATTGATAACCTGTTTCCAATGCAGTAACATGACTTTCTAAAACAAAATGTTGCAATTTAGACCTTAAAGTTTGACTTAAAAGGCAGTAATCTTACTGGAAAAGTAACAATATTATTATCCTTTCTTATGATCTAAAGTTAAAAAGAAGGTCAAAATAAGACTATTTTTGAAATTTAAAAAAATAAATGCCATACAGCTCTTAAAAATCTATTGCATGTAGCTATGACTTGCTATGAAGCAAAATTGTATTTCTGTAGTGATGTGCCTCACTGCATTTATTTAAAAAAAAAAAAATTTGAATGTGGAGAAAGTGCATTTTCTACCCTCAGCAAAGGGTGAAAAGCAGGGGAAGGAAGGAGGCCATGTAAGAGTCGTCTACCTACATGCTCTATGCCAGCTTTGAGATGGTACCAGTCTCCCTCTAAATGGAAGGGATCACAGCTTTTGGAAGAGAAATAGCCAGTTACGG